AACGTCAGAATCTACATACTTTTCACGCTTTTTAAATTTGCCACTTAAAAATATTCCAAAGAAAGCATTGATATATTACTTCAGTTTTATTTGAAGCAAATACATATAATATATAGTGAGATATAACACCAATTCCCACAACACTAGATTACTGGAAGCAATAAATGATGACAAATTATGGTTACTGGTTAGAAGTTAAAACCCATATGTCAAAGTCGTCAAAGTACATACTACATATCACTGAATAGTGAATATATACATTTTCGTCATCTGTTCAGGTTAGACAAGGTTAGAAATAAGATTAAAAGAGATAGAAACAGTAACTACAAGTCAGACGTATTCACCAATATTCACTCGCGAAAAAAAGCCTTATATTTGGCGGCTCTGACAGGCACTGACAACTGACAACAACACAACCCAATTTGCGCATGCGCAAACGAAAACTGTTAACGCAGAAAGCCTTGCTGTCGCTTCTCGTTGATATAGTATTCTCTGGTAAAGGTACAAACGTACTGCATAGACTATACGGTCCATGGTATACTGTCAAATCCATGTTTTTTTTGTAAATAAAGTTTTAGGCTATTTTATTTTCTTGATTGTAATTTTTTAATACTGTACTGCGATAATGGATGTAGCTAGTAACAACTCTGTAGAAGACAACGTGGCAAATATATGTAAAATGTATGTGAATTTTTCTACATTAGATTTCAATAATAAATACATCAAATAACTTTTAATTTTCAGTTGTCATGATGTTTTTGCAAAATATTGTTGTCCTAAATGCAATATCCCATATTGTTCCTTAAACTGTTATCGAGCAAATATTCATTTGCAGTGCAGCGAATATTTTTATAAAGATAATATTTTAGAAGATATCAGTTTAAACAGCAGCGACGATGAGAAGAAAAAAATGTTGGAGCTGTTACAAAAAACTTATGCAAATGATAGATTATCTAACACCTTTAACAATGCTATAGATGAAAATTCAAACTTAGGAGATTTGGAAAAGCTTGATTCTGATGATGACGACAGTTATGAAGATATCGCTGAAAGATTATCGGGTGTTAATTTAGATGATGCTGATGAAGTATGGGACAGGTTGACTGAAGATGAAAGACAAGAATTTGTAGCGTTTTTAAGGTAGGAAATATACACATACCAGTCAATAAGTTTTTATTTGACACATAGGTACTAGGACAAATTAATTAGAGAATTTGTTGAATGTTCACTGTTAGTTTTTTTTTGTTTCCATAATTTATTTAGTAATACTGCAATATACAATTATTGGTTATCTGCAAGTTACTATGTGTTCTATAGTTTTGACATTTCTTTAAATATCTGAGCTTTGTTTTGGTTCTGAAATCGTGAACTATATGAAACTAATTCTTAATCGCTGCAGAACTGTATGCGCATTAAACTCACCACGATAGCGTAGTTGATCGAGCATGCAGTGGCAAGCATTTTTCGTCCAGACTTCTTACTTTGGTTCGGGTTTGATCCCTGGTGCCGGCACTAGCAATGTCGATGGATAATGGGAATTTGCCCACGTTTTTTCAAGTGTAGCCCCCCTTCCGCACAGCCTTTGGCTTTGGATTTGGGGGTTGTCTCATTTATGTGGTGTGTTTTATGTTTTCAAACAATTCAAAATCCTTATTGAACAAATCCATATTCGCGGAAACACAATTGACATTTATCAGAGGCACAATGTTTTTTACTTATATTTAATTTTTCTGATAATGCAGTAATAATTGTAATATTAAAATCGATTATAAGGACATGCTCACCCAATTTATTAATTTTTTTTTCGATTTTTTTAATCTTTTTTTATTATGAAATTGTAACTTCTTAACTTTAGAACTGCTACTTTTGTCAGTACAGATCATAAAAGCACATGTGAGGGTAAACCGCTGACCAAAATTAAAATCATTGTAAATATGTACTATGTAAAAGAAATACATATTAGGTACATTTTCGTTTAAATGAACATTCAGAACTTCAGGTACATGTAACAAATGACTTTTATCTTCAGTAATACTTTTAATTTGCATCATCTTCACAATCCTCTGTACCCAAATGAAACAATTTTATATACAGGGCGTTGCACAAGTATGAACAGAAAATTTAGGACTGCATTCCTTGGAAAATTTTAATGGGGGCCTTGCCTAAAAAATGATCGATGAGTCTGAGGATGAGTCCTTCAAATTAAAATATTTTATGTTTTTTGAGTATGTGGACAAAGCAATATAAGTGGCGCAAAAAATAGTTTTAGACATTTATTTATGGCAAATTCTGGTGTAACCATAATTGCAAAACGTTTGTTTTTCAAGAGGGTAGCTCACTAATTTTATATAGCTGCCCCTTGTTTTAAAAAAAATATAATCGCAGCAAAGTTTTTGCCATTCCTTTATGGAAAATTTATGACAAATTCGGGCGCAATTCGAATTGTAAAAAATTGTTAAATTGATAAAGTTAACGAGATACTTTTTTTAATATAACCGTAGCACAAAAATTGTTGCCAGAGCAAATATATAGCAAATTCTGACAATTGGAATTACAAAATATTAAAAGTTGGTCTGCTAACTTTATTATGTTCTCAAACCGCACCAAAAAAATATTCTAGGGTAAGCCGTCTTGTTACAACAAATATAATTTTTTTACTTAAACAAGATTTCCATATGTGCAGTAATTTTCGTCTTTGAAGGTTTTATTATATATATGCTTAAAGATACATACTAGATTTGAATGAAATCGCTTCAGCTGCAAGTTAAAATACACATTTTTTTACTTTAAGTCCTTGTTTCTTTATAATGAAGCGTTTCTAGTTACGAAGTTTTTCGTTAATTTGTGCTGTTGAAGTTTTGCTGAGCATTTTAATATACCCTGTATATTTGCCATATTTTCATAGACGGCGGACTTTTACAAAGTCGAATACAATATCTATATATTTTATATTAAAAATATTTTTGACAGGTCAGAAGATGTAACCAAGTTAATTCCGATGTGGCAACCGTGGTGGTTATTTTATAAAGAAGTTACAGATAAAGATATAACAAATAGTGAAAGCTTTCTGAAAAATTGTCCAACTATTTGTGATATCAAGGATATTACTCAAATTACGGTAATTTTATATTTTTATTTATATTAATATACAGGGTGTTTTTGAATGGAGTAGCATAAATGATACCAGTGAGTCTACATCTCAAAAGAACACGATCTGCAAAAAATCGCCTTAGTAAAATGTTCACCCCTGAAGAGATATGGGCCATCTAAGTTTCCAAAAAAATTAAGAAAATTGGCTGTAATTTGAAAACCGAACGAGGTACAAATAACAAATTTTTTACAGGTTGTTTACTAATACAGATGCGAGTTTTCAACTATTTTTCGAAAATTTTAACCCCTCGAAAGGGGTTGAAATAACCACCCCTCAAGCCATTTTTTGCCATAACTTTTATATTTCGTAAAAACTCGATATCCAAAAATACGCATTAGATAAACTGGTTCTTTTAGAAACTTTTATCTCTCTAGCAATTTTCCTTTAAAACTTTTCGTTTATTAATAAAAAAATAAAATGTATTACCATTCACCTCACACCGT